TTCGACGTTTGAATCGGTGTCGCATTTCTGTCGGATAATGCGACAAGACCAGTCGAACGTGCGGCAGAAATGCGGCAGCCGATTCAGACGTCGAATTTCAGACGTTGAATTCGACACGGCAGAAATGCGACGTATGAACCGGGCCTAAGTGAAATTTCGTCAGATTCGTCACTTTCGCCAAATTGGTCAACTTTCTGGGGCACTACCAGTCAAGTGATCTCTATTCTCAACAGGTTTGGCGAAATTTCGTCGGATTTGTCACTTTTGACAAAATTTCACAGATTGACAAATTTCGTCAAATCCGTCGACATCGTCAACAAAATTTTGTCAAATCTGCTGTATTCGTTACTGCATGCATTTTTGGGCATATCTCCTAAGAATTGTCGAGACAATTGCTATGTTTCTTGTTTCAAAATTCTTGAATATGCTAAGAGTTATTCTAAACTCAAAGTAAAGGAGAGTTTTATCATTGAACGTTTGAAACGAGAATTAAACAAACAAGTCGAGCATGTGAGTTTACTGTTAACACTTCTAAATTAGTGTATCTTTCTGTTATTGGCTAGTTTAAGTAAGTTTAGATTTGTTGCCACGCTTGGAGTATGCACAAAATGTAGAAATAACCGGTTGTCAGTATTTTCACAGAATATCATACGACTATGGCTAGTAATTTTACTGAATATTATACCAACACAACAGTACAATCACCAATCAGTACTTTTACTGGCTAAAAATATCCATAGTACAATTACCGACTGCCTGTACGTTTACTTAGCATATTTAGTAGAAAGAAGTTCCACTGAGACGACAGCAGTATAATTTTTCCCGAGCAAAATTAATTTTTTAATTACATCCGCAACATTTGATAGTCTGACATTGTTACATGTATATCCATTTAAACCAATTCTTTATTTTCTCTTTTAGGAGTGGGCGTTTCTATGGACTTCTGTGGTTTTTGTATACCATTCGTTCCTTTGAATTAACCGATTTATTTATTTCGATTTATTTTTGTTTGGCCGTGTGCGTTTCTTTTTCTTTCCTTCCTATTTTTTGTAGATGTTTTCAAGTCAGCCATGTTGTCAAGCCTATTCCTCCGGACGATCATCATTTAACAGCTTTAGCCAACTCTCCTCCTGACGTGACTTTGGCGGGAATAGCCACAAGCACTACAACCAAGTACTCCGCAACATGCGCCAGATGGAAACTTTGGGCCCGTGATCATGACCTGCCAGTTGTCCCTACGTCTCCTTACCACTTCGCTCTCTATTTGCGTCATTTGATGTCGGATGACAAGACGGCTTCTCCGGTAGTGACCGCTGTACATAGCATTGCTTGAATTCACCATTTGGTTGGGGAGCCATCTCCACCAAAGCACCCATTGGTGAAGGATGTCCACGCTGGTGGACAGCGTCTTTTGGCCCACCTTACTTCCAAGCAGGAACCTGTGACCGTTTCTCAATTGGAACAATTAGTTAATTCTAAAGCTCTGTCTATGGCTTCTTTATATGATATTCGTTCTGTTGTAATATGCCTGCTGGTCTTCGCAGCTTATCTTAGATTTAATGAACTCGCGAAACTAGTTCGCTCAGATGTTGAGCTCGATAGAAAAAATTAGTTATTGAGGCCTTTAGAGGCATTGTGGTAGCTACATCGCGTATTGGAAAGCACAGTCTTAGGAGTGGCGGAGCTACTGCTACCGCTAATGCCGGTGTTCCAGATCGTCTCTTTTTACGTCACGACCACTGGTCTAGTGTTTCCGCCAAAGATGGCTATGTTAAAGATTCTCTGTCTTCACGTTTGTCTGTTTCTAAGGCTTTAGGCATTTAGGTCTTTTCGTTTGATAGTGTTTTTGTTCTAGTTGGTCTTGCCTGGGGGACCATCTGATTTGGGGTACAGCTGGCCTGGGGTTTTCCTCTTAGGAGCAAGTGGACGTACGGAGAGGTTTTTTCACCCAGCTGTTGTTCCACTACCCCATTTCAGTCAGCTTTTGCTGGTTTTGATGCGTATACGGTTAATTTCTTCGCATCCGTGGTCTTTACTGTCTGAAGTATTTTCCTTTTCACAGTACAATAAGCGAACGCTGGTCTTAAAGCGAGCAGCACCCAAGTCAGGGTTGTTGTGTATTTTTTTTGGGGGGGGGGAGGTATCACTATGATTTAGAGGAGAGTGTCTACGTCCAATGCGAACACTGTGATGTACGCAGTTGAGTAATTTTTTTCTTGGACGAAAAACCAATTTTAGCTGGTTATATGTAAATAGTCTTAATCAAATTTTTGTACCATTTCAAATGAATTTTGTATATATTTGAAATTTGACTTTTTTAATAGTTAGTGATGAGGCCTAGCACCTTTTGTTTCTTAGTTTAATATTTATTTTTACACGGAAATAAAGCTGTTCTTTTAAACGATCATTATTTTGATGTATCTTTGTGGTATTTCATTTCAGTGTCCCCAGTTAGGTTCCTGAGCTAAAGTTGTAAGACACCTTTTAAAATACAATTTATTATTGTTATTACGATAGAACAGTAAAAAGTCCATATTTCCATGGCTAAATAAAGTGAACAGCCTTTACAGACGCGCGTTCTATCTCTTCCAATGGAAATCGTATTGTTAGAGTATTCCCGGGGAGTATTGTGTTTAACGAGAGAGGGCGTAAGAGCTATTATTAGGTTTTAGATTTTGACAATAAACTATAGACAATACTTTGACGAAGGCTGTACCGTTCTTTTGTCAGTGCTTTTGGCGAGAAATTTGTATTCGCGCCCTTCAGAGTAGCTGGGAGAGCCCACCAGCGTTGTACAAACACTCCTAACCCTTGCGTACGGCTGGTGCGCTTGAAAATTGAATTGACCAATCGGGATTCGGCAGGGACGGGGGGTGGGAGGTAGCCTGCAGAACAGGCGGATTAGCGGGCTCTAGCGCGATACACGAACGGGCGCGTGAAGCGAAATCTTGGCAGGATATCTTGGGAGTCAAAGTCGCCTTCAAGCCATTGCGAACTATGAACAGTTTGTTCCCGCCATCGAAAGCCCAGGAAAAGGTTGACCGGCCACAATCTGACACAGTGTACAAAATCAGTTGCACCGACTGCAGTTTTGTATACTACGGTCAAACTGAACGATCACTGAAAACTCGGATTACAGAACACAAAAGGGCTGTTTCTATGTTCGATCATGACTCCAAGATCTCCTGCCATGTCCACGAAAACAACCACAAAATAGATTTTGGAAATGTCGTAGTTGTTGGACACGAGGCTTACTTTCATGAGCGACTCTTCTTGGAAGCTTGGATGTCAATAAAGGATGCGCAATCTGGAAATGACCACATCGCCATCCCAGAAGTGTACAAGTCTTTGGCACGCGCATAAGTCTCGCGCTACGTTTTCTTGAAACTTCACGCGGAATTTTCATCAGCGCGCTTTCGACGTGCTGTTTTTTTTTAACCAAGCGTACTGACGTCAGTTTTTCAACTGATGAAGGCTCAAGCACCAACCGAAACGTCTTGAACAAAACATCAAAAAATAGTCAATGTCAAACCACTATCTTACAATGTTAGCTCCTGACTACCACTACTCTATTTTTAAACGGACTGTGCAATAATTACCTGGAGGAGGAGGGGTTTGGAAAATTAGACGAGGTGGCATAGGAGAAAATGACAACAAGAGAGAGTGGGGGTTGGATGTAAAATTTAATACATACAGGGAGGGGGCATTACTTTTTAATTCCTTTTTGCAAACTGGAAAAGTAGTGGAAGAGTTATTAGAGTTCAAATTTAAATACTAACATTGGAATAAAACTGACAAATTTATCAACTCTACGGTGTTCTGATCTATGAACTGTTGTTTTCCTATCTGTCATACAGTAGGAAAGAAATGCCTCTGTTTTATATGTTAAAACAGTGCTACTTTATTTGCACTAGGATTTAATAAAACAGGAAACTTTAATTAAAAGTTGCAAAAGTAGCACTAAAGCAAAAAGGTCTTAAGATAAGTAGACTACGAGTGGTCCCTCTTTCGCTTAGTCCGTCGTTTGTGACGCGAAAGAAAACAGCGAGAAAAAAATAGCCGCGCGAAATCTTGGGGGCGAGGAGCGCACTCTTCGCCGCCAGGATTTCGCGCGGCCATTTTTCTCTCGCCGTTTTCTTTCACGTCACGCACGACGGACTAAGCGAAAGAGGGACTACTTGTGGTCTATAAGATAAGTAGAAGCAAGGCTGAGTTGATTGATCGAGTTCTCTCCCACGCACGCGGGAACCTTAGTGCCAGAGATGCTGTAGAAGATGAGGAATCTCCCAATTCATGCGAAGACGACCCAAGTTCAGAGTCCAGTGATTCTGATGACTCTTCATTTGAAGTGATGCTTGTACCGGGGGAAGAACTCCAACAGGTAAACTAGGTATGAGGGAATCAATGGGAGGAGACTTTTTTCAAGGGAGGGGGGGGGATTAGCCTTAATATTATCATTATGTAAGGGAGGTTGAAATTAATTTTTGCTTAATGAGAGGGTGTATGACTTAGTTTTAGGGCATATTTCACCCATTTCCCAGCMCCCCCCCCCCTTTCCAGGTAATTATTGCACAGTCCCTAAGGGATCCAAAATATCACCAGAGTRGTAATTTTGTTTTCTTGACAACCTGTTATATGATAAAATTTGGTGAATTAGATTAATCYGCTTCCATACCTGATCTATTTTCCTCTTTGGAATCTTTTTATCTAGTTTATTTGTCTATTTGGTGGCAATCGACCAAAAAAAAAAAATGGAAAATAAAGAAATAAAACTTGTGATAATACGCCTTTGTTATTTGCCCCAGCACATTGTATTACCTTGTTACCTTGGGAGGAACCGTTCTATCAAACAAACTGAAATGAGTTTTAACTCTTTTTTGATTCACCTTGTCAAAACAAGAATCTAAAAACTACATGGTGTTGAAGTGAGAGATTGTTGTGCTGGTTATTAGCACTTTTCTTGTGGTTAGCGTTTGTACTCCGAATTGTACTTGCATTTTGCGAAGCATTTGGCTGCAACGCTGTCACATTTGCAGATGGCCATCTGGCAGGCGTCATTGGAGGAGGCTGAAACATTTATAAAGAAAAAGAATAGTTGGACATTCAGAGATACAACCATTGCACAAACTCTAGGATTACGATTCTACGAGCGGGAATAAACCATTTTAAAACTTTCAAGATTAATTGAAGATGGCCAATTGCATGTCAGTGATTTACATGCACAGCGTTCGTTTTGTAAGCTGAAAAAATGGAACCAGCTTAGCTGTTTCAGGCCGAAACGGAAATGCTGTGCTATTCCAACTTCCAACGGTCCACACGAGCTAATTTATGACAAAGTGTAAGAAAAGACAGTATAGCAGCAAACTGTACTGAGCTGCAACTCGTGTGAATATATATAGCCCGAGCTTTCCAGCAACTAGAATGGTTGCTTACGATGGATGCAGTTAGTGCGGATATTCTTACACTAACATAGTAATGTATATCCAACATCGATCCACAATGGCTGCCTTTGCAAGCTTACCGTAGTTGCTCAAGCATTACGCTGCAAGTGCAGGAAGGACGTTTTTCGTATTGTGATTTATTGAGAATAGCATCTGCAGATCGACTGCATGGCCAAAAGCAAGAACTCAGCAGATTGCCAAATTCACATACTCCTATTCACCCGTACATAGGACAAAAAAAAAAACAACAGGTTCCCAAAGGGGCTTAGGGGTTTAACAAATGAGCTTCAGACCTCCAAGACTAAATACGTAATGTTCCAAAGCTTCATTGCATTGCTTTAAAGGCTGTGGAAACGATAATCGACGTTTTTCTTTGGGGCTCTAAAACCTAGGGTTCCAGAGTGCAAAATGGAAGTCCCTAACGCCGTTTGGGTCCCTCTGGTAAATAATTAACGAGATCCCATACCACATCCGCTACATCCTTCCCGTTTGTATCCTTTAAGGTAAACATCCGAATCTAATGTACAGAGTTCCTCATGTGTGATCTGACCGTAACATGCATCGTGAACCTGACAACACCTGCAACAGCAATCACGTTAAATCAGAGCCTTAAGCTTCCAACTCAAGATGCTGCTTAGAACCATTTACCTGCCCTTTGGAAAGGTTTATCGTTGGTCATTCGTGTTAAATCTAAGATTCAAACTGAAATCCCTCAACCCCTTGTGACCCAAACCTCTGTAAACCTCCATACGCTGTTTTTTTTCGCACCTCGAAGCACTCATAGAAGGCGACAGAGAATTCTCCATGAGCGTTTATCACGGTCGATTTCCCATACTTAGGTAATGGGTAATTTGGAAACCTTGACAAAATCATAAAAATTGAATGTTCATCAACTAATTATTCTCTTCAACTTATCCTTTTCTATCAGGTATTGAAAAGTTTCATTCCCAACTCAGGTATTTACTTAAAACCAAGAGATTATGATTCAGATCATAGTCTCTTGTTAAAACACAATCCTTTCGTTCTCAAATCCCTCAAAAGTTCTCACGCTTTAGCTGAATTTCAGGTGACAGTTGCTAGGAATAGAGAAAGCAGTACATTATTTATCTTCACCCAATCAGAATGTTCCCAATAAATTAATACGGAAGGTGTCAATTCCAAATCAATAAGATATCGGTTAAAACATTTAACTATGTAACTATCAAACTATCAAACTATTAAAGATGCTTTGTTTACTTATCAATGTCGTCGACAGACTTTCCTCCTCCTCCTAGTCCACAGTAGCAGCCGTAGCCATTATAGTCGAGAGGGTTCCTTTTTGTTTGACACAAGATCATGAGGCCAAACTGCCAAAGATTTCTTTTTATCCGCAGCGGAAATCCGCCTGGTCAAATTTATAGAGAGAAAGAAATGAAATGCTAAGGCTCTACAAAGCAAAGGAAAATCCCAAAACAGTGTATCTTATTCTTAATCTTAAATACGTGTATTTTTCAACATACCTGCTTCAGTGTCGGCGGCATCAAGGGCGCTGAATTTTTCCCTCTTGTCCGTATCATGGTTGCAGAAAAAGGAAAAAAAAAAATCAAATGCAAAAATATGCATCATTAGGTCTATGGCTCTTAGGTCCGCGCAGGAACTTTTTGAGTGTGTGTGCATGCGGGAAAAAATTATTTGAGGTAACTATGATTTTTTTTCAGTTATTCTTCCACCACGTTTATTTGGCGTTTTTTTTTTCTTGCGGAGATGTGTTATCAAACTGGCAAAAAAAAAAATGATTCGTAAAGTGTTGTTTGGTGGTTGTACTCAAATAATGTTTTCTTTTCATCCCCTTAATAACCATTATATTCATAAACGGCCTCGCACGCCCCGTTTAATTGTAGGATAAAGGATTAATTAGGCTAGAAATAATTTTGATTGATTGCCTGATGAGGTTATTATATTTACTAGAATTATCCCAAAATGTGTCTTCTCGATTTTAAAGACAATTTAGCTTTTCTTTACCTTTCTTTTTCTTCCTAAGAGGAAGTTTCGCGAACTTTTATTGAATCGCAAAATTAAAGAAAATGCTGAAGCCGTATAGAAAGCCGTAGAAAGTATTAATGATTAGCTTGCTGACATTTAGCAAAGTTTCGTTTTCCCAGGTTGTGTCGCTCAGAGTAGTGCGCTCATTTTACCGAAAATTAAAGCGGCTTCACTGAAGGATTAATGAGGCTAAAATATTTCTTAATATTATATTTACTATTTTTATTTTCTTCTTGATATGAGCATCTTTCGTATCAAAGCTCAGTCACGTGTAATGAGCAATACCGCAGACTCGTCGTAAAGGCTCAACTTTCTTTTCACGATGTCGGAGTCGACCCCGCAAGGTAAAGATTTATGTCGAATATGTTAATAAATGGTGCCATCTTTTTTATGTTCAAACATAGGTCAAAGGATGAGTTATCCCTTTAGTTCTTACTAACTGCACAATTCTTGCACTAGAATAAGTATCAATTTCAACGTGTCGGAACTCTGGAGTAATAACTTTTCGTTTCAATTGCAAAACTTAATGACAGATGTTTTTGTTACTTTACGGCCGCCAAAGCGCAATAAATTTTTTTCCAGATAAAGCGCGAATCAAAAACCGTAGAAGTCTAATCTCTTGGCGAGGTTGTTTATCTATCAATCGTCTATCATATCCCAGATTCTTGACTTTATTTATTAATTATATGGTTACGATTTTTAGTTTTGATCGCGTGAATTAGGAGCAATAATGACAGTATCAAGTCTGTGCAAAAGATCAGAAAGAAATGGCATTCTACACGGTCAACACTGAATCGCAAATCGTCGAGTTGCAGAGAGTCTTTGGGCCGCAAATATCTATCTTTGTATATGTACAGCTGTAATACATCATCAAGTGTGTACAAGAACGCCAGCCACATAGGTCATTGTGCTACTCTGTGTAGTGACATTGAAACAAATCATCTTCATAGTATTAATCCTACTCTAACAATCATTAGGCACCATATGTTCAAGGTGATATTATGTACTTTGGTGAAGATGCTGGAAAACAATGTGTTGCTAGCTATGAGTTTGAGCGCTTTGATTTAYAATARGATMAARGGAATACATAGCTGTAATGACCTGGTACAAAATATGSAGATGGTAATCAATTATTGTATTCAACACTGTCACAATGTTCAGGGCAGGTGTATTCAATACAAACAGAATTATCGTCAATGATTGGAGATCGCTATGTCTGAGAAAAATAATTTACCAGCTTAATTAATTACAGTGAAAGCTGCACTGGTAATCTACATCATTGTGATTCGATAATTGAGGGATATCAGTACATTATGTCTAAAGACAGGGCTTTTGAATCACTCCTGTTGCAAAACTATTCTTTATTTATTCTGACAATAGAATGTATTGGTGTCAGTATCTATCATACTGATATTGGGAGTAATAAGATATTTGATTCTCATGCAAGAGACGAATATGGTAGAAGCCAACCCTCAGATGCATGTGTACTATTAGAAGTACCATCTATTGCGAGCTTATTACAGTGTTTCCAGGCTATTATAAACACTCACTCGGTGACAAGATTATTATGAACTCAGAGAAGTGCAGACTGTAGTACATATGAAATAACCGAAGTGAACAGGGTGAGAGAAGAAGACAGTGACCCCAATCTCCTCAAACACATAAGTGACGTCGCAACTCAAATCAACTTCACTACACGATTACCATAGCTTTCACTTTCATCTATCGGTCAGTTAAAATAAGCAATGTTTTCGTGATGATTACAGTTTAATGATATTTCTTTGAGACATGCATCTGTACATGCTATTTTTAGAATCGCTGCGCACCGCAAATGATCAACACTCGTAGCTAATAGCACGTCTAGCTACAGTCCGACTTTTACAGCCCGAGGATAAATGAGCGATCTCTTTACCTGTTTTTACTAGACAGAAGAAATGATCGTCAATTCTCTTGGGCAAAACATGATTCGCTATCCATGGTTTTAAGAATGGCTGAGAGCTCAATGTTTGGGTATAAAAGTTCACTCACCTTTCCAGCAATTTTCGCCTCTAACGCCCAAATACTGATCAAAAAGATGACAAAAGTCACCGTTAGAGTTGTTTTCAAGAAATGAGGCATTCTTGCTTTACGGTTATCGACGATTCTTTGCTTTTCGACAGAAAAACGCTCGGAAATGATCAAAGTTTCAGGAAGTAAAAGAATTTTGCTTGCCTATTACTTTGGTAAATTAACTCGAGAAAAGTCGCCCTCGAATCATTTACATGCCATTGCAATAATTAATCAACGGAGTTATATTCAGGTCGAATGCACACCGTGTATCACAGTGGAATCGGAACAAAAAAAGTTAACTATTACTTCCATTTACTGAGATCAAATGGTATCAGAAACTATATCTTTGGTCGAGTTCTGTGATTATTTTTAATTAAACAACTTGAGAAAATAATTTTCTTGCATCGTTATTTATACGTATCCCCAGGCTAAAGTTATTATTGTTAATAAAAGATAAAATCAATATCTCAGTATTCGAGAAAGCACGCGTCTTCCACTGATTCATTTTTTCGGCTATCATATAGAATCAGTCCAAAGAGCAGACTTTATTTTCTGTATTGTAGTATATGTTGCAGAGTAAGGCTGAGTTTTTGAGGATTTTGTGCCTATCAAGACAGAGCCACGAAATTAACTTATTTGAATATGCATCCAAAGCTTTATATTAGTGGCATACAGACGTAAACATCCTAAAGGCATTATCTCTCACTAAAAGGGATCAATAAATTAGTGAAGCGTACAAAATTCGGGATGGTGACAGAAAGACCATGGGACGAGCTTTTGTTGAAAAAACAAACATTCATACCGTAAAATTGCGATCATATACTCCCTCCCTCATAAATCCTCTTATTAAAATATCCCATCTCACCCTAAAAAAGTCAATGGGCTGACATTAAGATTAAAATATGTCAGCAAGTTTATATTAAATTTGTCTTTTAAAAATGACTGCAAAGAGTAATCGACAAATTGTAAAAACCTAAATCTGACGTAGTTAATTTGAACTAGTTTGGCTGATGTGAATAGGGTATTAATTTTCTTAGTTTAGTTCAACGAAGTGTTCGCCTTTTTAATTATTGCCATTTTCTTTGATTAAAATCTAATTTAAATGCATAGCAGCATATGGAATAATGCATACCATCTGAAAACTAACGGCGATCGGACAAAGATTTTGGGTCGGTTTGTGCGAGTTATAGGCTAAAGGTGGAGACGGTGTGTCTATGTTAAGATTTCATCTGTTGGAATCTTCGTTCTTTGCGTCTCTTAATCAGGATACTACAGCGACTTCTCTAGCCACACTTATCGCGAGTTAATTATTCGTCGTCTAAAAGGCTGTACAATTTCCCGGACTGAAGGACATAAAAACATGTCATTATTGGATACCTCTCAGTCTTGTAAGCGAGGTGGTACCGAGACCATGGTCTCTGGAGCTTTTAGTACCCGGACTTCTGTCTTGCACTTTCTTCGTCTAACGTCTACTGCTGCTTCTACCACTAAAGCTTCTACTACTTGGCAAACAAATGCACACGCACTTAAATAGCCCATCGGTAGCCATGTGTGGGCTACACGGGACGAACTGACCTTGGAGGATTGAATGTCTATACAGGAAGCTAACCCAAACACTTTCACGCGACTTCCAGAAACGAACTATAAAGTTCTTGAAACAACCAATAGAAATTAAAGTTTAGAAAACAAGAAACCTAAACAGGTTCTTTGTGGGAGATTCAGACCAAGACCAGTAGACAAACCCAGGTGGGGTGAAGCGAACATGTCAAGCCAAGCCGGTTAGCACTGCATTTATTGCGCAACTACCTCAGGGAGAAGGGAGAAACTTTATATTACCGGAGAATATTTTAGGTTTAAAAATTAATTGGGTTTATATTTGGAAGTGATGTTGTCAGGGTTGTATGCGAGTAAACCGCATGGTTAAACGGTCTATGCATGATGCCGATACAAGGCACAGATCAAGTTCTACAATAAGCAGCTTGTAATAGGAAGACGTTATAACATTCTTTATGAATCATACTGGTTTTTGCCTTGTTTAGTTGCAAGGTGTGTACGGTATGAGCGACTAATTTTTAACCTTGTTTAGTTAAATCAGTTTTGAACATGTTCAACATTTTGGTATGAACGTCTTTTAGGTGATAAAGCTTTGTCAAGCAACACATTCCATCAAAATAAGATCATTATCAGAAGCTGGGCACGGACCCTTCTATAAAAAAACTATCCCAAATTATAACATTAAACATCCGATAGATTTAAAATTTTTTAACGTTGTGCGAGCAACGCATAATTCAAACTCTCTGTTTTTTGCAAGTCCCTCTCTTTTCGCGCTTTCGCGTCCTCGCGCGAGCACCTTTCTCCCCGCGCGTTCTTTCGCGTCATCCTCTATAGAAGTTGCTCGAAGTGTAAATTTTCTAAACAAACAGACAGTGCTTATGTAAACATGAAATTTACGCCGACGCTCATCACCTCTTTGACGTGTTATCATACTCCGCGCGGTGCTGCTTTTCATACCATTGCATCAATTATGACATGAACAAACAGTGGAGATCACGTTCAGGAGAAACGCGTTTTAAAAATTAATTGATCAACGTTCCTGCGTCGCTTTCAGTCGCAGAAAAATGCCGAGATTGCATTCTTCACCATTGGTTGGTCTCAGAAAAGCAAGCGAAAAAAATATCCAACCTACAACTCCGACGAATCCCTACCACTTTGCTTTGACTGCCTCTCGCTCAATCATTATTTAAATCCTTTTCCTGAAAGAAAAAGATTATTAATTAAGATTATTAAAATGCTCGCACTGATTTCAGTCGATTATTTCTGCTTTGTGTCCCGCAGCCTGCGAACCCAGACGGGCCTGTTGTGTCAGCACAGGACCTCTTTCCTTTAATCGAGGTTTATTTTCCTTCAAGCCATAAAGAATGGTTGAATTACTCCTGCTGATTTCTAAAACTATTGCAGAGGTACCAAAAAGTGACGAAAAATGAAAAGTATTGTTACACTTATGAGCTCCTTATTCTCGAGATGAATTGGTCCTGTATTTTTGTTCCGAACACGCACCGACTGTTGTGTTGTGTCCGCCCATTGATGCCTCTGGAAATAATTTAGAGAAAATTAATTTCACACGCTGCGATCCGGTCCGCTGGTCACGCAACAAAGAGGACGTCTGACGTAAAGTAGCTAAAGAGTAAACTTTCAATCTAAATACTGTCTTCCTGCACGAAATTGCAGGGAGTTTGTTATCTGTGCATAAATAGCCTCTTGAAATAGTCAAGAGACTTGAAATTTGTTTTGCAGATAGCTCGCGTGCTTTTGATCGAAGATTCGGTGAACCGGGGCACGTCAGCCCCGCAGAAACAGCACATACACAGTCATCTTATCTGGCATTTAATTGGTTGCCCTCCAAGTGTTACTGAGTTAAGTAGTACGTAACACAGTATAAAAGAGGCAGACCTTTCATTGAACTTGTTCTCGTCAGTTTAATACTTGGATCTTAGAATACCGAAACGTCAAAACCAGGAGCAATTGAAATGTCATCTTCACTGGAACTTGCGAGGTATGTACATGTGATTTTTCCAGTATTAAAACTGTTATGCGCACGGCGGACTTAAGGGGTTTTATAAGTCTTGTTTTATTACAAAGCAGGGTAAGCATTTATCCGCTAGCGAATAGATCGCATTATCGCAAGCACTAGAAGACATGCAGACAGTCAAATATACATTTTGGGTCACTGAAACGTTTTTGGGGGGTCTCATAAAGATCCTATTAACCAGGCAGGTTTTACTTCCCAAGGCAGGGTGGTTGTAAACAGTCTTCCGCAGGAAATAGAACAGTCGAATAGTAAACATCGAAACCATGGAGTCCAATACGCAACTAACATAGATTTTTCGCTCTTGCGGCTGTCTCTTAGTATTTCAATCGATAACTTCTTGGAGATAGGACGAGAGTAGAGGCACTTCAATTATAATAACATATATGCGTTTCAAATCGCAGCTTTGCATTTCAAACAGATATGTTTTTATTATTAGCTTGTTATCTTGGCGCACCGCTAAGCACAACAGAAATACCAATCACATGTTTCGTGAGCGCTTTCAGTAACGGGATACCAAATGCGGTTTTCCTTGACGACGTCCATGATGCATGAGCTTATAACCGCCGGGGGGGACTACCATATATAAGCTATGTGGGTATTTACGGCTGTGAAGGGTATGGTTTTCAGGCAGTTTAGGCTAGGATAGGGTATAGAAATCAGACAGTTTTGGTCTAGAATAGGGCAGCATTTACCGGAAAAGTCGCCAGTATAAACAGTTTAACCTAGAACAGGGTTCTTTGCCCGGGATTCTGTAATAGAAATTGAAACTCAGAATGACTTTGTAAGATATTGATTAAGTTGGACTACGATAGTGATGTTTCAGTTTCTGCATGGAAAATAGCTGACCTGGGATAGGGTAGGGGTTTTTGGTTCCTAGACCTCTACTAGGATAGGGTTGCAAGAGCAAGCTGATCTTGTATAGGGTAAGGACTTCAGTGTCCCAACCGTGTACCCCCCATCGGGGCTTATATAGCTTGGTTCAAAACTTGAAACCACGCCAGCACCTGGTGTATCTCTAGACTGCAATTAACGTACGCGACGTCACAATATCGTCTCCTGTGATATGTGAGTAGAAGGATCTATAACGAGCACGATAAAGTTGATTGTTTTTGAATCAAGAATCATTTTGAAATCGACCCCGAGGACCGTTGCCCTTTCCTGAACATTTCTATGGCTGTTATATTTCGGTCTGTGGCTCAGAGAAGAGATTACATGACGATGTGATCACGTGACAAACCGTTATGCGGATGGCAGATAAGAACTAGTTCGTCCCCAGACGCTGTTGTCTTTCGCTGGCGAAGAGCAGGAAAGGAGCGGGGTACTTTAACTTTTCGTGTGCCCTGTTCCGCACTGACTCAGCACTGCGAATGAGGTCTGGGGACGGGTCTGGGGGATCAAGTTTCCTTTCAGTTTCACCGCGTTTAGCAGGCTAATTTTAAAAAGCTTCATTTATGTGAAATTCCGTTATGGACGTAGGATCTCCAGCTACATCCGAATCTGTAACTATGTCGTTGAAGACTAAGCTGACTAAATAAAGGTTATCTTCAAAGTAACAACAAAAAAACAAAAACAAAACAAAACAAAACAAAAAAAACAAACAATTAAAGCCTTTTAAAGGACAATGTTGTAGTATTGTTGATGTTTCTTGTTTGACTGAGAAAATTACTTCCTTGTGATTGGCTGAGAGCAGGCCGATTTGTCGTTAATTTTTAATTTGTACTGGAGTGCAAATTAAAGCGCGTGCGTTCGCAATTTTCTCAGTCTAACAGTAAATGAGTAATCGTATGAAAGCTCGAGCAATTAAGGATTTATACACTAATCATGATATTTGAAAATTCTTTTAAATTGCACTCGCTTTCAGGCTCGTGCGATTTTGAGAGAGAACTTTGAAACATTTTTTTTGTCCCCGCCGGACTCGGAAAAACACTTACTTACCCTCAAAATATGTTTAACCATCGAATAAGGTGGATATAATTCTCGCTCTGTCGTGCTCGTAAAATAACGTTAAATTGCGGGATTTTCTATCGGTATTTCATATGGAATGATGCGGAAGCTAGACCGAAATATTTATTTAGTTATTTATTTATTTCAAGAATTTATTTTGTCTGTCTTCTTGCCGGAAGTAAATGGGTCTGCTGTCTTTTTCCTTACTGAGAGAAGTATTTAATTCGTAGAAGAAGTTAGAGTAAGTTAGGGCGTTTTTATAGTATCTTTGACAGAACAGAGGTCACCAAAAAAGAAAAAAAGATATATACATAAATGACGTTATCTTGACTTAGATGCAAATTTCGTTTTTGTCTTGTAAATTAACATCCAGACATTCAATATAACCTACGCTCACTCACGTGTGACATTCGATCCACAGGGACACGCAAGACGGTGATAGCAAAATGGCGACGTCTTTCGGAAGCTCAAACAACGCCTGCAGCCGTTGCTGTAGATCGTTTGGGGGAGTTATCAAGAGAAATCTGCTCGTGGTGCTCCTTGCCATCGGAGCTGCTGTTGGTTTTCTTATTGGCGCGTTGATTAACGGAACCGTTCAAGGAATCCAAAACCCCGAGAAGAAGGCCACTACCACCATGCTTATCGGTTTTCCCGGCGAGTTACTCATGAACATGCTTCAAGTGATCATCCTTCCACTTATTGTGGCAAGTCTGATCACTGCCGTGTCGCACCTGGATGCGAGAGCGACCGGAAAGATCGGCCGACGTGCCTTGTTGTTTTACATGACAACAACCTTGTTAGCCGCCATTTTGGGCATGGTTTTAGTTTCTTCCATTAAACCCGGGAAGACCGATAACCCAACTGGTTCTAAGGCAGATCCAAATCCGTACACTACNATCATCAGCCATTGAGGTGTGGTAACTTTGTAACTCGACAAGCGTACTTTTATAGCACTAATAAGCTGTTCAAAGTAGGGTTATAGACTAGGTATTCAATAGCCCCTGTGCTTGCAACTTTGTACATCAAGGAACCCACACAAATTCACTTCATTCCAATGGGGTTAGAAATCTCTCAGCCTGAATCGCCAATGGTGGCTGATAGGGTAACGGCTTTGCAAACCATCTGTGCCATATTAGGGACGAGTATTCTATAGCTCAATCTCTGCTGTACCTTGTAACAATTTTAAATGGAGGTGATGTTAAATCCTGCTTGTTATGTCAAAGTCGCATTTGTTTCAGTTTTCAAATATAACACAGTATCTACATGTAGATAGGTATAAACGCTTTTGTATGATGGAACTGTTATTATTCCGGTATGTATGTATTGTACGGGCCGTACTGGTCACCGTCAGGAGCCTGGTGCTGACTATTTTAATCGTTTCTGAAAGGAAACGTTAAATGATGACTTGAGACCGTGAAAAAGAAACCTTTCGATGTCGCAAGGATAGCCGTGGGATTAAACTCGTACCCAGGGTCCTCTCGGCTGCAGATCTTCTCGTGAGTGCCAAAGAGGCCCTGGAGGTGAGTTTGAGTTTATGATACCGGCCAATGAAAATCAAGTGGAGGCCGATTTGCTCGAGAGCAGGCGGTTTCAATGCTCGGAAATTAAAGTAGCGGGCCAAGGTTCCTGAACAGGTGCGTCACCAGTGCCCTTAATAAGTTGGGTGTTAGGTTGTTAATAATTTTTAAATGTAGCATTTATAAACAGTTTCATCACGTCAAAAATATTGTAAAGCAGCTTTTAGTAAAACTATTTTAATTTTTGTGTTATGTCATCATAAAATACCATCTCACTCTCTCTTCCTGAACTTTCTGTTTGCCACACGTGCGTTCATTTTCACTCGTCACGCCGTCTTGTTGGGAAAGGTGCCTGACCCTCTAGCACAGGCCTGCATCGGAGGCTTCGTAATGTTTTTGAGATTTCACCCTTGATCAGCATCTATTTTCTCCTCAATATACCAATACTAATTCTAGTGAGCGAGCTTTGAGAATGTAGTAGCTAATCATTATTAAAGTGATACGGAACTGCTTTTCTGAAACCGTGAAACCTTCCAACTAATGGTAGGGCACGGATCACAGGAGGAAGGTTTTGTTTGTCTAGACAAGACCAGCAATGCTTAGGAGAGAAACTATATTTATCCCCCCCTACTGGTCTACCGCGTTGGATTGAGTAGCCCAGGCTAGTAACTTTTTTCAAGTCTCGGGCTGGGGTTACTCCCAATAATGGCCTATACGGGGAGACTTCGCCTGAAATGGGTACCTTTTTCAGGCTTCAGGTATATAAAAGGGCAGGGATTTCACAAGTTGAGGTATCTGCAAGGGTAGGGGAAGCTTTCATTTGGTTATTTAGAAGGGCCTTAAATTGAACATCTCGAACAGCCGCACCTTATGGCAGTATCATTTAATTCTTGATGTTATCCAGTAATATTGTCCATTAACCTCATTCCGAGGATTTAGAAAAGGGTGCAGTGTTCTTAGGTAGGTATGTGAAAGGGTACCTTTCTGCGACAACGGGTACTGCCCTTACCAGTAGACCGCAACAATCCACGAATATTTTTGCCGCCTTCAGAGTAACGTTTTTGATGCCGCGAGTTTGTTTCAAACCAATCACGTGGTACTTTGAAATGTACCACGTTAAAACGTTTCTGTGTGGCGTCATGGCTTCGTATTACGTGATGTTCATTCACAGCGTGTTTATCTTTAAGAGGAAAGCTTACCGCGCTTTTTGGCTCCCATAGAACTGTCAGCATGGCCGCTGTTTACCAGCTGAAGATAAAATATGACCAGGACAAATTCGGAGCGGTTTTTTTTAGACGCATTCGACACGATAAGCTTTCCTCTCGTGAATGTCTCGGTCTACTGGGAAGAGTAGTAAACGAGAGGGGTACCTTTTCTGTCAGAATGGTATACAAAAGGGTAAGAGTACCCCCCCCCCACCCGGGTGGGGGTTAAATGAAGATCCTGATTTACCACGTTGTAATGATCAAAGCAGGGATGTACCCCTCCTGGCCTGTATCACTTTTGCAACTGGACACACATTTGCGTCTCCCAAACAAATCCTTTTCTCATATGAACACTTCCGTTTGTTCAAGTAAATCTGCATGGCTGCTGGCCACGTGGATGAAAACGCTCTGAACGTTGAAACCCTAGCCCATTTCTCAACTATCGCTCAATTTTGCTGATCTCGGATCTAACTCGGCTGACAAAGCTATTTGTTCAGACTTGTCTTAATTTAGGTGAGCTTGAATTCATTCCTCTTCCATTGACGGTCTCGACGAGCGAAGATCATTTTTCCATTCTCTCCTCTTCCTGTTTCTACTGTTTTCGCGCCTTTTCACTCACCTTTGTTGAGGACAACATTTTTTTCTGATATGAGGCAAGCATACATGCATCTCTAAGTTGGGTTGTCTTCTAAACCATTACCCAGCAAAACAGAGCTCAGCCAACGAAAAACTGACGTCCTTTATGAATGAATTGTGAAAGTTTTAGACGGAGCTGGCGTCAGAAGTTATCATAAAATATATAGCAAAATGAAGAATTTAAAATCCAGTGAAATAAAGTAACTTTATTATAGTGTCAATACTTTAGCACACACACTAATTGGAGTCATAACATACAAAATATAAGAAATTGTTGTAAAAGTGCTGTTGAAAGACTCTATCTATGACCTACAAAGAAAACAGCCAGATCTGAATTCATTACTAAGTTGAAAGATCCTTCACCCTTGGCAACTTTTTGAAATTGAAATTGAATAGCAGGTAATCAACCGCGGAGCGTTGTAAAATTTCACATTGAAGCTCTAAACGCCTAAGGTAACAGTATCTCCTTGAAGCCTCGTCTACACGAGCAATTTTTATGCGAAAAACATTTTTGATCGTGTAGATGGCACAGCAAATTTCAAAGTTTGGTGCGCCAGTAATGACTTTGGACAGCAGAGATACACAGAAACAAGCCGAGGCTGCCTAGTCGCCCCTTAAAAACATGGCGCTAACGAACATATTTGCCACATTTTACGTGACAAGGCGTCTACACGAGCAATTTTTCGTATGTGACAATTTTTATTTGTCACAAAAGCTAACACGTTAGCTTTACAGCAAATATATTTGTTACCTAAAAATTGGCCAATTGTCCTCATCTGCAAGGGCACATAAGAATTGCCACATAAAAATTGTTCGTGTAGATGAGGCTTAACTTAACTAAGAAAGGAGAGTTACACTCTCTTTCACACACAAAAGAAATGCATCTATTTGTGGTCACAGATTAGAAAAATACGATAATTCAACCTGATTATCGCTCTTTTGGAGTTTCTTTGACACTATTGGGTTATTTTCTTCAGTTTTAGATTTTAAGTCGTCACGTGACAGGTGCTCCACGATCCCAGTTCTAATTGCGTCGCCAAGAACGTTCACGGTTGTAATGCAGTGGTCATTGAAAAGCGAGACAAGAGGCATTGTTTCGTATACAATTAAAAAGGATCTATGGGATGTAGTGAAATGATCAATGACAAGGAAAACTGACTTTCCAAAGCGCACACTGATTTCCACCCCAGAACGAGCAGCCCCGAGCTTTTTATATAGGAGACCCCCCGGCACTGACCGCCAGCAATTAGGTTTCTGATAATTGATTTTCACCTTAAGCTCTTTGTCATCAGCAATCTTGAGTGGCAAATTAACATTAATCATTTTGGGGATAAATTTGGTTTCTTAAATAATAGATAAAAGGATTCAATTTCGGCAATTCGGAACCGTTTCGAACATCGGAATTGTTTTAACGAATCTGGGGGGGGGGGGGGGACATACGTGCCTGCATGTATACTTGGTAGAGAATGTTTCCATTGGAAATTACCCATTATGTAAACTATGCGTAATGATGCGATCACAAAAGTGGTTTGCTTGGGGTCAACTTGAATTGTCTTTAGTTACAACAACACAACATCTTTTGCTCAGGCAAAATGGCTTGCAGGCCGCGTCGAAGTAGTTGTGGACGATGTTGTAAGACCTTCTGTCTGATGATGAAAGGAAATCTTCTGCTCGTTTTGCTGGTGGTTGGAGCAATCATCGGTTTTGCAATTGGAGCAATAATCAATGATCCTGTGAATCGCATCATCGACCCCGAGAAGAAAGCCACTGTTATAATGCTTATCGCCTTTCCAGGAGAACTATTCATGAACATGTTAAAGATGATTGTCCTGCCTCTTATCGTCGCCAGTCTGATAACTGCCGTATCGACCTTGAATCCTGATGTCGCGGGACGAATTGGACGACGAGCCCTGCTTTATTACTTGGGAACACTGGCTTTAGCCGCCATTTTGGGTTTGACTCTTGTCATGACGATACGTCCCGGTTTAAGCGACGATCATGGCGCAAGAAAAGATGTTGTAGGTGTGAAATACCGAAACTTAGACTCATTACTCGATATGATAAGGTAAATACGAATTTTCTATGATTTTTCCTTGATGCATTCCTTCAGTCCTCCAAGTTAAAATGCGTGCTATAATTATATTGCTCGAGGGCAAAAGCCTGTTGTTGAAAGACTGCGCCATGTCTACGATAGGATCCTGGATTTGGCCATTCATTACCTGATAGTTGACTCGGGCGGCGTCCATGTCAACTATCACGGGATAGAAATCTCGAATTCATAATCTAATTGTTAAATAGAACACAGACGACGTCAAAATGCGGTTAGAACGGCAACAACAATCTTTATTTCCGTTCAATACACATTTTTACAGTTATGACTGGCCCGCGGATAGCTTTTGCTAGTCTAGGCTGGCCAGTCTATCAAAGATCTAATTACAAACGTTTTTATTAAAAAAATAGACTACAAAAATAGAACGAGCAAGTGGCACTCGAACCGTTAGGCGCGTGTGTCACTGATGTGTGTCACAGGCACATGGCAAAAGGAAATCCATGTAGTTTTTTTAATAGCACTTAAATAATAAAATAAATTTTAATGACGTCATCTATACGTCTGTCCTCCAATAGATCAGAACTAAGAACCAATCAAAATGCGAGAATAATTTTACTTGTTCTATAAAGGGGGCTTTGCATGACGAAAAGATCGATAGTGTAGTTTGCACGAATCCAAGTAGATATCCTGCTGGCGCGCATGCACTTAGTTTATTCGACGCTGGAATGTCTGATTTTGAATAATTTGTAGGAACTGTTTCCCCAGTAACCTTGTTGAAGCAGCCGTCAGTCAGGTCAGTAGCTCGTAATTCACGTGCACGGTCAAATATAAGCCATTTACAATAGTTGACACTTTTCAACCGCCACTGGCGGATTGAGAGGGGCCTGGGGAAATGAAACTGGGTGGGGGNCTGTCCCCTGATTAAATACCTCATAGTTACTGGAACATGCCACGTTTGAAATTTTGAAATTTGTTATGGAGGAAAACGAAACCATGTGGATTTTTGCAGGGAAGCTATTTATCGAGGACGGAAAAAACCGCCAAACTTGATTATAGTTAATGCTCTACAATAGTTAAATATAAGTTGAACTTTCCTTTGGTGTAAATAGAAAAGGACAAAATACATCACAGTGCCTGCAAGTTTCCAGATTTACAATGTAAAGAGCAATAACATCCACCTTGGACCAGACGAGGAAATTACCGCTGTCCGTTTTAATGGTACCGTCAACATCACCACCATTAGAAAGGAGATCCACACGGGCTCAGACACCGTGCCAGCGGGGATGATGTCAACTGGAGGGATGAACATCATTGGCTTGAGTTTGTTTTCCATCGTGCTTGGTATTGTGTTAGCGAGGCTTCGCGAGAAGGGAAGACCGCTAATTCAGTTCTTTTCCGCCTTGAATGAGGCAGTTATGGTTATCGTTCATTTTGTGATGTGGTAAGTGGAAAGATATAGCTCACTAATGATTAACTTCACTAAATAAGTGATCTTAAGAACTCATGAAACATAGAAGGATAAAACGTTTGAAAATATATCATTCAGGTGAAATGCACCCCTAATGGGGATTTGAATCCCCTCTTTCAGCACAGAAAAACTACGCAAACCTCCCTGCCTTAAGTATTTATATTTTATTTGTTTCTTTTATTCATGAATGAGACTTCATTTATACACGGTTTAAAACTACCAAAATACGGAATGTACAATTTGTCATATTTAAACTGGTTTACATTTACATTCAGTCATCTTAAGTGTGAACACATTACATTATTAGTGAATATATGAAAGATAGTATATTTGAACTGCGGAGAAAATATACATTACATTATTATATATTATTATTAGGAGTGGAGAAACTGGAGCGAGCGATTCAGTTGTTTGAGGAAAACACGGTCAGGGAAATATAGCTCTGTTTTCAAACATCTCCGCCGCAGTGTGGACACTGCCTTAAATAACATCTCACTGTGCTTATGGTAAACCATAATAGTGATTTTTATGGTTGTAGGTTGGCTCCATTAGGAGTGTGCAGTCTGGTGGCATCTCGCATAGCTGGTATGGATGACATCTTAGGTACCCTGGAAAAGCTAGTTTTTTACATGTTGACTGTCATATGTGGTTTGTTCATCCATTCTCTCATCACGTTGCCACTTGTGTTCTTTGTTGTCACTCGAAAGAATCCTTATTCGTTTATGAAAGGTCTGAGAGACGCCTTGATGACTGCATTTGGAATCGCTTCCAGGTATGACACTGAAATATAACACTTGAGTTTGTCCTTCATTCGTGATATAGTTTACCCTAAATATACATACAGTTTGAGATTATAAGCATGTAATTTATTCAAAATTGAAGAATCTTCGGCTTTTGTTTATATTAAAAGCACGTGCTTTTGGTCTTAAGATTTTTCACCGATACAAAAACTTTGAGAAGCACGTCAACTCTGATGCTGTTAAAAGCTATCAAACAGCTATCAAGAAAAGATTTATATCCTTTAGTTGTCAAATTCCCTGACCAAACTTTCCAACACCTTAGTCAACGACATTTTTGTTTCTCCATGGGGTGTATATATACCTTATACATGGAAATTAAATTTGCATGCGAAAAAACGTGGCATAGACCTATGCTCAATGCATAGTAACACAGTGTGACTCGGCGAAAAACATGTGAATAATGGTCTTGATATTTTTAAAGATATTTGTGAATTCTTTTTTGTCAGCCCAATAATTATAATGATGTTTGGTGTTTGGGTGGAGGGGGCGGGNGGGTGGGGGTGGGGTAGAGTAAGCTTCAAGAGAAGCCCTTGAACTTTCATTGCACTGTATGGAAGTTTTCACTTTTGAGTCACACATTTGGAAAATGAAATTTAAATGTAAAAAATGAAATGACAGGTGAACAGGAAATACTTAATGTGGTATTAATAAAAGATGATTGGTTGAATTGTCGACTTAGTCAGAGGGGAGGGGAGGGATTTATAGCAAATTGAAACAAAATCTTCCCAACTGGACCATTTGAATTTCTTCCACTGCATGCATGAATACATGAATGTGGTTGGAATAAATTTGATAACTTTACAAGGGAACTTACCTTTTAATTTTTTTATGTTGGGTTGTTAAATGGTTTTGTTAGCTTCTTGTCAACACTGTTAAATATTTCCAGGAGCTGTTTTCCGAGTAACCTTGTTGAGGCGACATTTCGTCAGGTTGGTTGGTAGTGCGTGAAAAGATTGGGTGCCAGTCAAACAGGGGCTCAGAACATTTACTGAACATCATGGGGATCTCATTTCTTTGAATAGAATCTATTTCTTCATGTTCTCAGGGGAAAATGGAAACTCTGTGATATTCAGAATATTGTACATTATATTCCTGCTGCTTCAACAAACCTTAAGTGAGACATATTTTGTTTTCTTGATTAGCTGATGGCATTTTATTTTACATCAAAATTATTTAAGAAGTATTTAGATTTGGTTTGTTGGTGATTTTAGACAACTAAGGTGATCATCATCCTTATCTGTTACCACTCGGCAGAATTTTTGATTCAGTTTTGACATGCTCTTGAAAGCCTTCTGATAGCTTTACTTGATTTAACCAGTCAATATGTCAGAAGTGTGGTTTCAGGCCTTATGCATTCCACGGCATGATTAATATAGTGATATCAGGAGTGTACAACATGTAGAGTTCTCATTGACTGCTCATGGCCTTGTCAACTCCGCCCCACACTTTTAAGATTTTGATTGGTGAAATCAAACAAAGCACATCAGGGAGTTTCAAAAGTATCAACAAGGCTGTGGTCTAAGAAAAATTAAGAGGAGCCCAGAGGTTCCTAACCACGAAATCCTGCATGCCCAGCACTTATTATAGGCTCAGTACACGATTCAAGAATGTAAGTTTTTCCAGTCACCCAAAGGCAAAAGTTAGTTGCTTGTGGCGCCCGGGTGCTTCCTAGAGCACAGCCCTGGTCAAAACTCTGAAAATTATTTTGTTGAATGGTAACAATGGTTTGTGTTTAAGATCACCAGGTGTGTGGTGGATTGTTACAGAGTTTCCTTTTACCTCCAACTTCTTTTAATTCACGAAAAATTAAGAAGTACCATTTACTTATGTTAAGTTTATTTTTCGTGTAGAAATTTGAGAAAAAGCAGATTTTGATTTGGCAGTATCAAAGATGAGCCTGACTGAAGAGGGCAATGTTTCAGTGTGGGAATGTATTTTTGGAAAGAACTTCTTGACAATAGATGAAACGAACAGGTTACAACTTTAAACATATTTACTGTGGGGACATACAAAGGACATGTAAAACCAGGAAGAAGGTTGTAATAATCTAAACATAAACTGGGTCATGATGCAATTTTCTGTTTTATATGTAAATTGGCTAAAACTAAATGTAAAATAAAATTAAAAAAAAAACAAAAAAAAAACGCATTTCTTTCAAGGGTTTTGTGTCATGCCAAAAATGCGAACTACTCCAGATTTTTCAAGAGACAAAATGCACCTAAGGAGTCATGTAAAAGATTTATTACTTTAATTTTCTTGCAATACTGGTACCTTTTCATCAAGTCTCCTAGCTGGAAACAGTCAAATTAAATTCAGCTGAAAACTACGTGAAAACTACATCATGAAATATTTTTTAGGCTGGAAGGTTATGAATGCTCAGTGCCTTGTACTGTGTCTACAGTACATGACATTTGTAGGAGAAGCTTGTCTTTCATTCCTTTTCAAAGATTTTTATTTTCATTGATTAATTTATACATGTATGCATCCCCACCCCACTGCAACTTTGCCTCATTCAAGTCAAGGCTCCTCCTTGTTCAGTCACACTGGAATACTGCAATCATTATTACATGTAGACAGGTACATGTACACTGGCATCGGTGTAGTATAAGTTTGGACTACATGTTCCAATACATGTACATTGCAATCTAGATTTTTGATTTTGATGTTTTCATGTAATTTATTCATTTATTTTTTTAATATTGGGAATGTGTTTTTGGGTCTTGGTAGTTGATGTTCAGTAAATTGTCGTCACTGTTTGATTGGAACTTACTTTTAATTTTTCCTCCAGGGACCAAAATGCCTGTGGTATCAGAATGCAAGCCTTAATTAAAAAGGCTTACATTAAGTGCCAAGACAGCCATTTACTGTTCTGGGTCAACAGAAATCATTTCTATGCTGAAGGGCTGAATGATTCTCATGTTTTTGTGTCTAACATTACTTATACCTGCCAACTTTTCTTAAGTCAAATGTGTTTGATTTTCGAGTCCACAATGTCTAAATTTCGCCAAAAAACAACTTCTGAACATCACCAAAGATTCCTGAAGATGTTCCATTGAATTTTTGAAGGTTAGCGGTTTAAAGAGCTATATCTTGGTGCCATTATTCGGTTCTATTTTTCTGAGATTGCTTATATCTTGGTGAGTTGACAAAGGTGAGACATCATGAGCATGTTATGTGGGACTCAAACATGACATTTAGGGCCTTTTGGTGGACTATTTTCAAATTGATTAAAAATGGAATTGAATTTTTCACATTAATGTTTACTGAACAAGTAGTCCAGAATTGTGAGTCGTGCGTGAAATTGCTCTGTATGCATGTGATCTAAAGTACATTTTTGATCCACTGGCGTGTGACATTCGTAACGCAAGTTGGCAGGTATAATAAGGTTTTTTGTTTTTATATTAACATATTAACTTGCATGCTAACATGACTAATGGCTCTGTTCTTCAGGGTACCACTTAATTTGATATTTTTTCTTGTTCTGTTGGACAATTTTTGGAGGAAAATAATTGATTATCAAAATATTGTGCTTGAAAAAATAGCATCCTTGGGTGAGCTTAATCTGGGTATTACAAGAAATTGTCTCGTCAACTTTTTACAATCATGCTACTGAATACTATGGGTATTCACGAGAAATAGATGTTAATAATAACATCAGATCAAACGAATTATTGTTAGCTAATAGACATGTAAATGTCTAGATAGAGTCACAGATTTATTACCGTGTATGAAACTTTAAATGGTTACTTTGGCTGAAAAGTCGTGCTCGAAAAGCCAGAAAGGTAATAGAAGAGAAAGGGATAGGGAAAGGTGTTTATACTGTTTGGTGGGACATTGGTTGAGAAGTACAGTGCAAATATCAAATTTGTTTGAAGAAATAAGTTTAGTTACAGGAAAATAATTTATTGTAAATTGTGCTGATTGGACTTTTTGAAAAAAAAAAAATGTTATATGCAGTAAAAATGTTTGATATTTACAAGTAGTTATCTTTGCATTGTATAATTGCATTGAAGTTTCTGAAAATGTTTAACATGTTCAGCTGTCATAACAGTCATGTTAAATATTAAAATGTTAAACAAGTTAAAGTGTTGTAACACTCATGCTAAACATTAAATAAATACCATAAAAAGGTATAAATACATGTACTGGATCAACTACATGTACAATTAGAAGCATTTAAAGGTGGGTGCTAAATAAGAATTATCCAACAGTTATCCTGCAATGTTTAATATTGGCAAAATGTTTTTGGCTGAGCGACCAAAATCAGACACTCTACAAAATTGAGTAGGATAATTGTTGCATAATTTATTTTTCCGGTAAACATGAGTGTGTAATATCTAGCTTCCTTTCCATTTATTAATATTGTATTGTAGCAGTACATGTACTTGCATGTAGTTTTCTCAGGAGTGAGTCCGCGTGACTCCTCCTCAGGAGTGAGCCAGCTAATTGTATTATCTACTTTTTCTTTTTACTGCAGAAAAAAACCTTTTACACTTCAGATCCTGGGAAATATGAAGTGTATAATGTGACTGAAACCAATCCTAAACTTGAAGACAATGAGAAGATCATTCGAATGATCACGATAAATGGCACGCTCAACATCACCACCATATCCAGAGAGATATACCCCAGCTCTAATACGATATTCGCAGGGGTCGCAACCAACCCCACGGGGGGTATGAACATCCTTGGCTTGGCTGTGTTCTCAATTGTGTTTGGTATAGTGTTGGGGAAAATGGGTGCCAAAGCCAAACCCCTCAAGGCTTTCTTTTCTGCGCTCAATGATGCTGTTATGATCCTGGTGACACTGATCATGTGGTAGGTTACATCACTATTTCTCTTTTATTTATTGCTCTACTCAGAATTTACATTGCATGATAAAATGATACATGTATTTCTTCAATTCCATTACCAATTTATTGTACTTAACTGTGCATGTGTAACATTAGAGAAATACTTTATACTCAAGCTGGTTATTGAAAAACTGAACCCTCTCCTCTCCTGCATGAAGATGGAAAGTAAATTTATTTTTGAGGTAGAGGGGGTGGTACATATAATATTGCAATCTTGAGATTTTGTTGTGCTAAACTTTTGCTAAACAGACGTTTGGTAAGGAAAATTCTTCAAATGAAAATTGAAGGTTTTATTCATTAAATAATCATTATCACAAATAATCTTTGCATACACTAATTTTGGATAGATATTTATTAGCAAGTACAAGGGTGCATTTAATTCGTTATCACTTTATACACAGAATGCAAATATGGCAGACCGCTCGGTTGGCGCCCAAGACAAGTCGCATGCAAGTGAGACTAGTCAGGCTTTGATGTTTTGTTTTGACAGAAAAGTCTTGCTTCGTTGTTGATCTGGTCTGTTTTTGTTTTGCCCTCCCTATAAGTTGAAATCTTCCGCAGTAGAAAAAGTGTTTTTTTCTTCTTCATTTCCGCGGTCGCCTCTCAGGGAAAACAGACGAAGGAAAGTACTGTAGTTCACGATCGCTGAAGGAACTGTTAACGTTTGTTCATTCAGGCTGGAAGAAAATATGTAAGTGACCGCATTTAGCTTCAAGTCGGTCTCATTTGGCTCAAAGCATTCACTGGATACAACGATGGGGACAATTGAAGTTCATTCGCTTGTTTATTACACTGTAGTATTTGTTTCGTGTGATTCCGTGTGAGTGGACGCGAAGTCAACTTCTTCCTTTGAGACAGAGGATGTTTTTCAAGAGGAGCTTTCTTTACTTTGGGGAAGGTACTGGCCATGTAAATCGTGTTGGAACACCACCAGACACCACATAAGCTTGTCATTTATACGATTTTTCAAAGATCTTCTAATATGAAATGTAGTGAACAAACTTTAGTTCCTGCGGTGATCGTGAACTCCTTTCCTTCATCTCAATGAATTGCATTGATCCACTATTTTCCCTAAGCTTAAGAGGCGAATGGTGGAAAATTGATATCCCTTCCCGTGGCGTTCAGAAACACAGCAGCTCGTAGCCACAGCTAAATAAAACAGACCAGATTGATGATGAAGCAGGACTCTTCTGGGAAAGCATTGTCAAAGCAGAACATCAAGCCTGACTAGCCTTGCTTTCATTTGACTCGTCCCGGGCGCCGACCGAGTGGTCTGCCATATTTGCATTTGGTGTATACTATTATTTAACACTTACTGGTATGAGACATGCGAGCTTGTGGTTTGTAGCCACGATGTCAAGTTTTTGAATGCATGTGAGTGCTTAGAAGAACTCTTACATGTAGATACATTTTCATTTACATGTAGCAGGAAAGCAAAGTACATGTACATATAAAATGTTTATTCTCTTGTGCTGATTACATGATTGTATGCCTCAACTTTTTCTCTGTTGTCATTTGCAGGTATGCACCAGTAGGTATCTGTAGTCTGATTGCACAGCGTGTTGCAAGCATGGTAGATATTGGAGATGAACTCAGCAGGCTGGCATTATTCATTGTGACGGTGATGGTTGGCTTGGTAATCCATGCATTCATCATTCTCCCGCTAATTTTCCTTGTGGTGCGGAGAAGCAATCCTTTTACTTTCATGTATCAAATGAGAGATGCCTTCGTGACAGCTTTTGGCATCAGTTCTAGGTAAGTAAAAGGCTTCAACCGGTAAGGGGATGTGCTTTTGTTGCAAATGTTAGGATTTTAACCAGACTAGAGTGTGGATATGGTTCTTTTCCCTCCAAAGTAACACTTAAATTACCCTGTGAGACAGAAATCCCTTCTCTTTCTGCTGCACCATCGCATGACTCTGGATTGAGTGGTCCCAGTTCAAGCCCTGGCAGGTGACATTATGTTGTGTTCTTTGGCAAGACACTTAACTCTCACAGTGCCTCTCTCTAACCAGGTGTACAAATGGCTACCGCAAATTTAATGTTGGGAGTAACCCTACGATGGACTAGTGTCCCATCCAGGGTGGGGCGGGGGTAGAAATATTCCTAGTTGCTTCAGAAACCAGGATAAGCTCCGGCCTTATGGGTCGGCTTGTATGCAGACTCTACCTTTACCTTCTGCTACACTAAAGGAAATTGAACAGTTGCGAGTAGAAGTTCCCTTTTGTCTCTCACCAAGCAGAAAGAGAAGGGAGCCTCTGTCTCACAGGGTACACTGAATAACATACTTGTTATCATGACAAATAAATGTTGATGATGATGCTGTACATCACTTTTGCTGTTTATTTTACTTGTAGTGCAGCAACTCTGCCAACCACCATACGCTGCCTTGAAGAGAACAACCATGTAGACCCACGCATAAGCAAGTTTGTTCTGCCGCTGGGTGCTACAGTGAACATGGATGGTGCAGCTCTGTATGAAGCGATTGCTGCTATCTTCATTGCTCAGCTCAATGAATATGACTTGTCAGCTGGAAAAGTTATTGCCATTTGGTGAGTGCATTGTCAAGTAAATGAAAGAAAGTTATAGTCATGTGGCTGGTTTTTCTGGGTCCAATGCCAGATGCAGTATATTATTTACATGTAGCTCCATTGTTTCATTACGAACTTAACTATAGGTACTAAGGATCTGCAGCCATCTGCAAGTTTTCTTTGAAGTACTTCAATTTTCCGTGGAGTAAAACTCCCAATTAAAAATGATAGAGATTCTTGTTTTGGAAGACCCCTTAAAGGTTACATTATCTGTGTTTCTGTTTTCTTTTTTCCTACGTGTTTCAAGGTTACCTCCCTCCCCCAAGTTTTAAGTAGAACTGCCAAACAGAGAGCCACTTCCCCCCAAAAAAATTCTTGAGTGGCAATTTTACTTCTTTCACTTTCTTCCCTTAAAAGTTGCAGCTTACTTTTTAAATCTACCCCCAATAGAGTACATACCACTCGTGTACCACATTTTATGAGCTAAGTGCTGACGAGAATTAAATGAGACACTCCAAGCGAGGCCAAAACACCATGTTTAATCTCTGAAAAGTATGGCAAGCTTCCAGTCAGTGACAAGGCAGGCCCAGTTATTCGTTTTTATTTGAGAAGTAGTTAATGCTTTTTTCTTTATTGTCCATCATGTATTTATCTGGGTTACCTGCATTTCAAGAACTTGTGTGCACCACTTTCATTGCTTGCAAAACTCATAGGTAACTTAACAGTAGCTGCCATACTTTTTTCGGCCAAAATAATGAAACTTGTCCACATGTGCGCTACACGCGTGCCACACGCGTGCCACACGCGTGTTGTTGTACTTTAGAGCTTACATGTAGTAGCTGTAGCTGTGTAAAAGCTACGTTACATACTACATGTACATGTACATTATATAATTTTTTTTTTCTGATCCAGTCTTACAGCAACTGCGATCGCAATTGGCGCCGCTGGAATTCCATCCGCAGGCTCAATTACTACTATCATTGTGCTGCAAGCCGTTGGCCTACCGCTGGATGACATTGGGCTCATCATGGCTGTTGACTGGTTTCTGTGAGTGACAATAGTTCTTATGCTTTATTTGTTTGGGTTTAGTTGACCTTTCGTGCAATGTTTTTGAGACTTACATGTAATTTGTTGAAAGGTCTTTCCTTTTGTTAAGAAGGATTAATTCGAACTATTCTCTATCCACAGGGATCGCTTCCGAACCACTGTCAATGTGCTGGGCGACTCCATCGGGGCTGGTGTAGTGGAGCATCTGTCACGTGATGATCTGCGGAAGTATGATTGTAATGGTATAATGGATGATAGGGCTCCACTTAGTAAGCTGGAGAAAGGAGATGAGCCCGATCAGGTTGTCGTGACTTCCGCTTTGTAATCTATCCTAAAGTCACGCAAAATTTGTTTGTCACACAACACTTGTTTTTTTTAGTAGCTAAGTTACTTTTTTGCAGTAGTATCCTGAGGATAGCAACACCGATACAGCGATTTTTTTTAATTAACTGGGGCGAAGTATCGTCTTTTATTAACAACAAGCTCGACTTAATAATGACCCTAGAAATAACTTGAAAGTAAAGTGGAACCCACGGCAAAACGACTTACCGCAAAATTTAGAGTCATTGCTGTTACAAACTTAAACCCCTTTCACACCAACATGGTAAACTTGTCTAAGAAAGGTTTAACTAAACAAGGTTAAAATTTAGTTGCTTATACTGTGCAACACCCCACAACTTAACAAGGTAAAAACCTGCTTGACTCAAATATTTTACCAGATGGTTTGAAATTTGTCTTCTCAAAATGACTGCAAAGCGTGACAAATTTGAAAAAACTGAACCTGGTTTTGTTTGACTAGTTTAGTTGGTGTGAATGGGGCATTTGATTACCTCTACAACTTTTGAACATACTCACTTAGTGCTAAAATCTGTCAAAGAGTAGACCATCAAAAAATGCGGTCGTTTTTGCAATAACCAATAATCTTGAAAAGTGAGCAGCAGAAAATGTCCGTGATTTTCCCCGCTACATCCTGATGAGTGAGGTTGCATTGTCGATGTTGCATTGTTGTAGATTGTAGTTAGAATAATCATTGGTAATGTATAGCTAGCTGTAAGATATTTTTTGTATGTTTTGTTATTAATATTAGCGGCGCAGGTAAGGGGGAAAGTGAGTATTTGCGGACTACTGACGACGAAGGTGAATAACTGTTGTGAGACAGACCGGTCAATATCGTGAGTTGTGAAGTCCGTTACACTAAAAGAGAACCATTTGCGCACAATTTTCATCTAGATCAGTCGTTAGAGGGGTTTTCTGCTGTCTGTCTGAAATGTTTTCTTTTGGTTACTTCGGATCGTCGTTAGAGGAGGCCTGTAATTGGTTCAGAAATTTCGTGCATTAACTAACTAGCCAATCACAGCAAATCACTTAAACGTGTTACCTTTTTCAACCATGAAGAAAACAAGACTGGTTTAACTGGCGTTGTGCCCCGCTTTTTGGTTTTCACTTGTATTCTTAGTACGTTAAAGTCAAAGCATATGTAGAAAGTTTTTAGGACCAAGTCTTGGGTTAGAGT